ACACACTTATATATATATATATATATATATATATATAGGGGGAGAGAGAGGGAGATAGAAAGATAATGTATATATATCTCTATATAGTTCGTTAATCTATTAATTCCTTCTAAATGTGTATAATGTATATGTTATTTATATATGTATTTATTAGCATTTTTAGTTGAGCATATATAGCTTGTAGGATAAAACCGCATAGTATTCTTGAGGTGGTGCTAACCTGAGACTTTTGTAGGAATGAGTTCCAACTTTGATGATGTCCATCATCCGCCCTTTTTCACCCGAAACAAGGAAGGATGTCTAGTGGACTTCTGAAATGAGAATCCCCACAATAACAAAATGAATAGTAGATATGTATATCCAGAGTTTGTGGCCTCTGTTTTAGATAACACTCCAGAATACCTTCATACAACAAAATAAAACCACGACCAAAATAGCATCCACACCATATTGGTCGCCATACCTGTTTCTCGTGTAGTACAATGACCGATATTTTAAGATTTTACGGAATCTTGGCTCTTGAGGCCCGAACTTTGGGAGACTGAAGGCTCACTTGGTAATTGAGTGTCGAGAGGTAGCAGGTGAATCGGGCAGATGCTTGATCACAAGGGCAGGCGGAAGCGGACTCGATCCCGACGCGGAGGAGAGACAGTGCGAATAGTCGGGCAGTGAAATTGAAAGGGACTGCGAGCGAGACCGAGACCGAGACAGAGACCGAAACTGAGGTCGAGACTCGACAGAAAGAGGAGACGGTGACAGCGAGGATGCTGGAAGGGTGGCCAAAAGTTTATGATGCTGTAGAGCAAGTGACTCAGCCGAACGTGAGATGCGCCGGAGACCAGTCTTAGGCATGACTGGTGTCCGTGCCCGCAGCCCAGCTTCGAAAAGACGATGAGCAGATTCGTCGCCGAGAGATGTGGAGATCGAGCGTGACAGAGAGGCCGAAGACGTGTGCAATGAACCGCGACTCTGGTGGAGCCGATCTTCCATGGCAGAGGATTCGCCTCGTCGGCTCCGCCGGCACTTGGTTCGAGGACAAGGGGAGCTTGAAATCACCGTACGACGCGCCGGTGGCTTTAGCGGCAACAGACGAGGATCAGTGGCGTTCAAGCGCGACCGCGACATAGGTCCTGCGGCCTGGAGGGTGGAACCAGCAGGATTTCGAGTGATCAACAGCAGCTGATAGGGCAGAAGACGACAGCATCCGCCGTTTACGTTGGCCGCTGCTTCTGGAAGACTTTCGACCGTAGCGAGTGGAGCTACAGTCATCAAAAACAACAAGATTTGAGCCGTGCTTATTCTACCCGCAAGTTTTCGCATTACCCACAGCACACACATACACATACATACAACATGAATATCAATCCATACGTGTCATTTGTTTTTATTACTCTATGATTAATCTCAACACAAGGAATTGGATGTCAAAGAATACCTTTATAGACACATTCTGTTGTAATTATTGTTGCTATGCATAAGTTTGCATCACAGACAATCGAAAAAGGAGTGACGTGAAATTATGACCTTTCTATCATTACGAAAAGTCTGTGCTTAGCCTTATTACGTATCATGGTTCTGTTAAAATACTTCACCAAGAAGTCCTCTACTATAGTAGCTATCATAATTCCCAGCGTAGAACCATAGACTTGGCACATCCTCAGATGTTACGCCGGCATCGTCTATGGGTTTTGCCATTCTCAGCACCACTTCCAGAGACATCTGAAGCCAATCCTTTGACCAACTTTCTGCCTAAACGGTTGTGCTATCACTCTTCTTTCTGTCCTGTCCCATCTATCTATTCCTTATCCTCTCATCACTCCCCCGCCATATCATAATTTCTGACTCGTTTACATTCCACTCCTCAAAAGGTGTGGCCTCATCAAACCTACTTTTTACCTTGCCCCATACACCTTTGATTGGCTGATCCGACTCAGGCCTCCTGTCCGGATCTTCCGCATGGACCCATAGATCCATTTCTTATGGTTCAGGTTGACTGATTTCACTCGCTTCCGGTCTCATGGCGCTATTTCTCAAGCCTTTTAAGGCAGTTACACTGTCACTTCATAGAGCAGAGCGTCTAGACTGTGTTTCCCATGCTTGCAGATATCAAGCATTGTCTTCACGAGCCATCCCCTTGATTCAACTCGTCTACCCTGAGCAAACTGTGCACGTCTATCTCTGGTCGTTTGCTGCCTCTCGAGTGGATTTCCAGTCAATTTGCCATAGTGCCGAATTTCTGTCACGGTTGTGATCATCCCTCTCCCTAGTCAAGTGGCCATTAGGCCCCCAAACTTGTAGCTGTTTCTTCGAGTTACCGTTTTTGAGGAATATCCGACTCAATTTGTCTAATTCTTTCTCCAAGAATTGAGGAACATAATCCTCAGAAGCCTAGGATTAATGAACGTGGAATATAGGTAAGTAAGTGAAGTAATTCAAAAAACATGCTGGGCCCGAAATAATGATATGGCGGGGGAGTGATGAGAGGATAAGAAATAGATAGATAGGACAGGACAGAAAGAAGAGTGATAGCACAACCGTTTAGGCAGAAAGTTGATAAAAGGATTGGCTTCACATGTTTCTGAAAGTGGTGCTGAGAATGGCAAAACGCATATACGATGCTGGCGTAACATCTGATAATGTGCCAAGTCCATGGTTCTACGCTGGGAGTTATGATAGCTACTATAGTAGAGGACTTCGGAAGTGTTGTATCTAGCTGAGCCCCTTTTGACAATTCAACAAAATTGCGAAAACGATGTCAACCTACTTATATCAAAGCAAGAGTTCAACAATACCAAATGTCGCATCCTCTTGGTCTTCATCTCTTCAATTAAAATTACCTTTGGTTTTAAATACTTTATATAGACGAAAAATTAGCTTTAAAATTTTTATTAAACTTTTTTAATTGGATCGAACCATTTACATTACTTTTTATGCCTTAATCGCTTAGAAAAATATGTTTTTTAATTGTACAATATTTTCACGGGACGAATTACTCTTACTAATTGTACCTACCTCTATATACATATGCATACATATAAACATAGTTACATATATACATATATATATTATGTTATGTAGAGGTGGACGAAGCTAGATAGCTAGACTAGAGTCGGCAAATATATGCTAAAGCCATTTATCCTATTTCATCTAATAATTAATTAATTTTTTAAATCTTGTCTACGAATATTATTTCGGAAACAAAATCAAACTATAGCTTTAAGATGGTCGGTTAGTCGTGCTGATTTCACTCATGTTTGTCTGTTAGCAAGTCTGAAAGATGTAAATGTATCGATGAACTTAGGAGAATAATTAGTATTCAGTTAGCTTAGGTCGCTTAAGGCGATTTAAGGGCTGGTGAAGCTTTTTCCCAAATTGATTTAAATAGGCTTCACGATGCCATTAAATTGCAGATATTATACAGTGCAGAAATTATTAGTAAGTCTGATGATGGCAGAGGCTGTCCAAGCCTCCGGAGCTGACTAGAAAAGTAATTTAGTCATGGACTTACTGGTACCCTCTTAAAATTTGAAACATGAGGATAAGGATTCAGAGGGCAAATAAAGCACGCCTTGACATCCAAATACTGACGGTACGAGGGCTTGAGAGACCAGGTTTAGGCCTCGTTTATGGGTATAATTGATGATACAGTTCAACCTGGATGAAGGATCGCATTTAACATGAGAAAAAGTGAAAGGTGCTGAAGAGTTTCAGTTTATCCTCGATTTATAGTACTTAGTATGTTAAAAGTAACATGGATCCTCCGGGCCACAATTAAGCCTGAATACCAAGTTGTTGGTTAAATTCAAAAGTAAATACAGCAAACTTAAACGCTCGAATTCTGTCTGTTTTATCTGAATTCAGGAAACAGTTAAATGCCCCAACTTTGGTCGACTGTATTGCTTTATACAGATTTCTGACTTAATGAGTTACCTTCCAAATAACGGAAAAAAAGATGGACAAATGTAACGAGACGTTGATTACCAGTAGAATGGTTTCCGAAAGAGACATGGAGAAACTGCTCACCAGAACCAACGGCGTGTGAAGACAAACGGCTCTGCCCCAAATTGACTTGGTTCTGATCAAGGGTTTGAGTTTGGGACGAAAAGATGAAAAAAAGCATGTCTATATGACTAAAGTGGAATTCTAATAAGAGATAAGAATGTACTTTGTGGTCATGAATAAAATGGCCTTCAACTCATTAGCATCTCTTCGAAAAATACGACCCTAAAGAGCCATAAAACGAGTTCACCAGCGGCAATGTTATTTATTCAAGTGAAAGGCTATATAAACGGTCTGGTGAG